GTTACTCACTACTCGGCCAGAAGAAGAGAGTTGAAATTTAAATTTAAATTAAAGACGAAGTTTGTATATTTTGCACAATACAGACAATAATGATAGATGTGTATTTAATGTTGTAATTCGACCTTGTGTGCTGTCTAAAACCCATTTAGTATCTGTTACACTTGATTCCACGTATGGCTAGGTATGCAAATGCGATCCTGAACACACGGAAGACGAAATTGATCATGGGAAAGCCATTGCCGTTATAAAGGACTCTGCAATGTACATGACAAAATGTGTTGGAGCTTTGAGGGAATTACAACACGTACATTGCTGAGCGCACGAAAAATACAATGTTAGGTGTGTTTTCTAAGATGAATTGTGAGAATTAGTCATGGCGATATGTAAAGTGAATGCAGCATTTCTTAATGCAGTAAAATTTGCTCAATGCGGAACCTCAAGGGACAAGAATTTTTTCCGCATTAAACAAGATTCCTCTTTATACAACTGAAGCATAAATTTTCTAAGAATCCAGAGGTAGGGTGGAGAAGAGATACAACAGAATAGAAAGAAGTAGGCTCCGCCATAGGGTGGGAATAAATGGAATTTCTCTTTCTGTTTAATAAAAAAATGTGATAAATACCCCCAGCAACTCTGGGTTCTTCAGCTAGTTATATTATATTTTTTCAGTAAGTTTTTCCATTATATTGTAACTGATGCATGATATGTTTGATGCCAAGTGTACTTTGAGAAAAAAGAATCGGTTATCTCCACTGAATATTTTCGATTATATTAAATGTTATTAAAGGAATTTCACTTTTCTATTATTAAAGCAAATCTGTGGTTTTAAAAACGGCAGATTTTTTAAACAAATTGAAAATAAACCCCTAGTTGACAAGTATTTAAAACATGCAAAGAAAAACTCATTCAAATGTTTTGGATGAACATATGAATTATTTAATATACATATTTCATTTACAAGTATTTAAATACTTCCCAACTCTACTAATTACAAATCGTACAGCATTTGGCGCAAAAACTAAATATTTTCAAGCTAATATCAACACAAATTTTACAATTATAACTTATTTTCACGCAGGTAAATAATGTCCCAACAATAAGACGTAAATCAAAAATGAGCTTCTGAGTCCTGGCTGTCGAGTCATAGTAGCATTACAATCTGATTCCTTGAAAGCTAGCAGTATTTCACATTAGTTTTAAATAATGTCTAAAAAGAAGTGTAAGTGTATAACAAAAGTCGAATGTAAGGACGAACAAAGATTTATGAAATACACAAATACATTGAAAATACAAATTGTAGAATTCAGTAAAGTAAAAGAGCGAGAAAGCAAAAATAGAATATTGGCATTTTCAATATGAATGAATAATTAAAATTAAATTAATTATTTTTCGCACAATTCATTCAATTTTTCTCATGGCCTGTAGTTGGTGTAAAACCTGTATATATTTCATTAATTTCAACCAGGAATTACGCAAAAACTACTCCTTTTTCAAAAAATTGTACATAACCTTTTTTAAAGAGCTAATTTTGTACAACACTGTCTGAAGCAAAAATTTCTCTTTCTTCAATTTTGTTCTCCATCTTCGAGAATGCCGAGCAATACCCGAAAATGAAACTAGCGCTATATTTCTTGCCGTTCGTTATTACATATGTTATATATCTATATATTATATTCTTACCGTTATTTATTACAAATTAAAAGAAAAAATGTCAGCGGATTTTTTTTGTAAATTTCAATCGCAAAATACGAAAAAATTATCGTTGTTTCAAAAAATTGTACATGACCCCTTTTTTGAAGAGCTAATTTTGTACAACAGACTTTGAGACAAAAATTTCTATCTCCAATTTTGAAGTTTTAAATTTTATTTTCCAATTTTCAAAAAATAGAGGATGCCAACGAAAATGAGACCTGCATCAATCTTTTAAACGTCCTTTGCATCATTCATCAACAAAATTTAATTTAAAAAATTGGAGCTTTTTTAAGTTTGATGTCCTAGGGGATTTGTGTAAAGAGCACCCCAAAATAAAGATTTCGGTTTCAAATTCCTGGGTCCGCGATATCAGCTTGAACGATGTTTTGGAGTTTATATGCTAGCGTTGTGCACGGAAGGACAGACAGACGTTTTGTCGTCAATCGATTGTTCGTTATCAAGAACCCACAAAACGGATTCTGGCTACAGCACGTGTTAGAGGATTTTTTTTTTTTTTTTTTTTTTTTTTTTTGTATTTAGCAACTGGGTTTATCCACTTTCTCGTTATCAGGTCCGGCAATAAGAGATTTTGTGTCGAAAATTCCCGCTTTCTGGCGCACGATTACAATACTTTCTCTTCTTACGTTAGTAAGTGCGAGAAAGTTAAATGTACAAAACTTGAATAATAAACGGGAAGATGCCACGAAAACGACCAGCAAAAGGCACGGTGTCCTCTGTATTATGAAAGAAGCAGTATAGTCCGATTTAAATAGTGACTTTGGGCTATCAGCTAGCTGTGGTTATCCTATCAGGAGTTTCGTTACAAATCTGAAGTTTGTTATTAGATCTCCCAGTTGGATGCGTCCCCTCTTCTTTCAGCTTTCGACCTTGGGGAGTCGCTACCTTTGAAATCGGACAATAAGTATCAGCTACCTAGGTATACTCATATATTTGAAATAGTGAACTTCACTAAGAAAATTCTCATAGAAAACAAAAACACTTTTACTTTAAATTCCGATGTACACAACGACAACCCCCTTCAAAAGGATAACCTACATGTTCCCCACTCTGAATCTACACTTTATCAAAAAGTACCCTAATAGAGGGTATTAAACTTTACAACAAACTAAGCAATGATATTAAAGACATAAACACAATTCATACATTTAAGAATAAATTGAAAGTTTTCCTGCTTAACAACATGATCTACAGTGTAAACGAATTTTCAAATTTCAACATTGCTCTTAAAAAATATAAATAAATTAGAATTTCTGATCCCATTAGACTTCCTGTTTCATGTTAACTGTTTCGAGCTGAAGCAAAGCAGAAAGAATTGACATATCGCATCCTGTAAAGTAAAAGGAGAATGCCTGACAAAAAACAAAACAAAAAATTCTGTTTCTCTCTGGATTTGCTGGACGCATTAGCTGCTGCAGTAGGACTACGTGTACAAATTGAAAGAAGAAGAAGAAAAACCGCCTCCTCACCATTTCAAGTTTTAAATATAGAATTTAGTAATATTGTTAAATTTTATGTAGTTGCTAACAGAATTGATAAGTATTGTTTTAATATGATGATTATTA